GCCCTCCGCCCCCGCCCCCCCCCCCCCCAGGGTTTTAAAATATAAAAGTAGGCAAGATCTCTTTTCTGGTTAAAGGTACATTTTCTAAATACTTCTCACTGCCCCAGTGGAAATTTGCCAAGGTCGGTGATTCCAGGAAAAACTCCTGGGGTAGCACCTTCCCCGCCCTCCTCCTATGGACTTTTATGGCTCCATGGAGTCCAGGAAGCAGATCAGATTCACAGTCATACTTATTTCCTCCTCTGCTCATCTGCCAGGCCCTTTGGGGTTGATGGACCGTGTCCGTGGGTTTGGTCAGGGGCTGCCAGAACACCGGGCATAGCACCTCCTCCCCGCTTTCTGCCCAGCACAGTGACAGAAGGTGCCCACAAGGCCCCGGCATTTCAGTACGGGCACTCCCCCGGGCCTGAACCAAAAACAGAAGCTGTTTCATCCACCCCCACGCTAGGCTTTTCCCAGGACTCCTCCCCAGAAATCCCTGAGGGCTGTTCCTGAGCTCACCCCGCTCCACCCGCAGGCCAGCCCCTCCCACTTTTCAGCGCAGCCCCCGCGCACACACGGGGAGCAGTTCATTCTCTTTTCCTTCCGCTTGGGTCTGGGCACAGGGCTGCTGACATTGCTGACCCTCTTCCAACCTGGCCGGCGCGGCTCTGCATGATTGTGCGCTGGGGGCACCCGCTCCCGCTCCCCGCAGGTGGGGCCCACTGCGACACCTTCCCTGGGGTGAGGGCTCAAATGCCAAACGGGGCTACGTCACCGGGTTAGGCAGGTGGCCTGGAGGTGCGTCCAGTAAGGAAGCTGTGAGTCAGCAGCAGGGCCACGGGAATTCTTCAGTTCTCATTTTGGTTTCGTTTCAACGAGGTGATTGGAGGGCTGGTGTGTTCGCGGAAGTGTGGCAGATGATCATAGATGTCCGACTACAGAAGTGCAAGAAGGGCTCTGTGAATCATGCCCCCAGGACACAAACACCACAAGACACGGACCCCAACTCAGTTCAGAGTCCATGACGGAATGTGGAGAAACGTATAATGTGACTCGTGTATTAGTGAGAATGCGCGCAAGGCTCAGAAGTAAAAGGAAGAACTACTTTCTGGAGAGTCTTCAGGGAGGTCTGTGTGAGCTGAGCTTTAAAAAATGTATACAAGTTTGCCGGTGGATAAGAGCGTAGAAGAGCATCCTGTAAACTTGCAGAAGGTGAACTACAGGGGATGTGACCAAGAAGGAGCCCCACAGGCTTGGTGCCCCCGCCAGTCTCCTTCTGCACCCTTCACAGGCACCTTAAATAAGCAATCTAAGCAAAAAATGGTGAGCTTGCTGCGTGGACACCACTTCTGAACAAGTCTGTGGTCCCCTTTCAATCCTGTGTATTAACTGTAGCTGCCACTAGGGGGTGTGGGGCTTGGTGACAAAGGGATTGACAAGTAGATACAGATGGCTGGGACAGAAGCAAGAATAGGTAAGCTTGAACGTCATGCTAAAGGGCTTAAACTTTATCCTGTAGGCTGGAGCTCGCAAGCTGGTGGCTGTGAGTTGATTGAAAAAAACATCTTAGGGACTTGTTTTGTTTAACTCTTATACAGTTTTAAAAGTCAGCTCCTTTCTAGCATCTCTTGGAAGAATCAAAAGATCTTAAATACTGAATTCGTGACCCTGCAATGAGCTGGTGCTGGGTTATAATTGCCTCCTTTAAACCTGGTGTGGGCTCCAGGTTTGCCTCAGTCTCCGTCATTCCCTTCTGCCTCCCCAAGAACCTTCCTGGCCTCTGGACACATTTCAGCACGCTCCCTGGAGGCAACAGGGAGCCATTGGTGTTTAGGTAGGAAAGTGTCCAATGTTAGCATTTGAATGGATAAAACTGGTAGCTGATTGGATTTGAGAGGACGACGATAAAACTGGTAGCTGATTGGATTTAAGAGGATGACGCGTCCGTCAGTGTTAGGAGGGAACAAGTCAGGTCAGAAACAAGTGCCCCATGCACACAGATCCACATGCACACATGCACACATGCACACATGCACACTTTAAAATGGTAAAATGGCCTCCTTTTCCTCAACTCTTTGAGTTCTTAGATTTCTTTACTTCGTCAAATTTATTTATTTTCAATTTAAATATTATTTCTTTTTTCTTGGGGTAGGAGAGGGAGGTACACATATCATTTTTCCTAGGACTTACTCCTCCCTTCAGTCGCCCTCTCCCCTCTCAGAGAATGAGCTGGGTTGTGGCCAGAGGAGAACATCAAATCCTGGACCATTGATTTTTCTGACCTTGTCTTCATCCCCTGTAGAACTGTGCCATATTCTTCCCATACCCAACAAACAACTACTAATTAACTGGAAGAAAACAACAACAAACAACAACACAGAGACTTGTATGGGGGCGTGTGGTGGGGGAAATAAAAAGCATAGGTACCCGCACTGACCCTGCAGCCAGATGGAACCCACTGCAAACTCTTTCCAAATTATAATAACGGCTTGTAGAGAAGAGAAAAAAAGAAACCCTGAGTTCCATCCCTACCTCCCACAGCTGCTCCCTTCCATTGCTGGGTGACCCACCTAGAGCAGCTCTTGGTCTCCATTTCTATAGCAGGATGGCAGAAAGATTATGTAATGCCAATCAAGTGCCAAGCAAATGAAAAGTAATAATGTTATTTGTCTGGGAATTGATCTAGCCATCCTTTCTCTCTACCGCTAGAACTAATTTCATTCACAGGTGCCATATTATTTACTGCTTTAATCATCTCTTTCAGTGCCATTTGTCAACATTGCACTTTTAAGTAAAATAATGTTCCCATACATGTGTCTAGGTTACAAATGTCAGTAGAAAAAGAATTCAAGGTTTGAGATTTCCTACCAGGTATTTGCTCTCCCTGGCTCAGACATGCATGGCTGTTGACAATCAGTTTTCATGCCCAGCTGTGGTGTGTTGAGTGGGTAGGCAGAAGCTCACTCATTCAGCAAGCATTCTGCCCTAGCTCCGGTTCTCAGGAAAACAGATAGTGAGTCAAGGATTTAAGAGCAAGTCCTTTATTGGGGAGCTGACAAAAACACTGGTTGTGAAGTCAGAGGAAGGCAGACAATAAAGGTTGCATTGTCAAGTCAGCTGCCCCTGTGGGGGCTTTAACATGCTGGGAAACTTTGGAATCCAGTGTAGAATACATGCCTCAGAGTTATCCCATCCAAGAGGTGAGAGAGCTGGCATATTTATATACCAACTCCCATCAATTATTATTTTTTTTAATATATTTTTTATTGATTAAGATATTAC